CGTCACATTGGGGTAATTGGGCGTAATCTGAAAATTTTGGTATTGGGAATCATCGATATTTGTTTCATTATAGTCATTATTAGTGTTGTCATACATGTTGTACATATAATCATATGGAACATTGTATGAGTTGAACATTTCAGAATTTGGCATTTGGTAATAATTACTGAAATCCAATTGTTCGTCATTATTGGGAGTAGAATTAACGTCGATATTTGTGTCTTGAGTTTGAGTTTCGGTGATAGTATTAGGGGACAAAGTATTTGCGGATTGGTTCGAAAGTTCTTGCACAGTGAAATTATTCAGGCGAGATCTTTGAACTGTATTTGGTCTTATAGTGACACCAGACGATGTGTCCATTGGTTCTGGAGCACTATTGTTTTGGGTGATATTGGGTCTTTGGAATGGTCTATTGAAATTATTGAAGTTTTGAGGTCTTTGGAATTGGTTATTGAATGGCATATTTGGGAAAGGTCTTGCAAAGTTTTGGTTGTTAAACGAATTATTTGGTCGATAGAAAGGATTATTAGTGAATGGTGTTATAGGCATTCTTGGAATATTAGCAGCATAATTTCCAAGTGTATTGTTAAAACTTGATTGAGGCTTACTTTTATTATTGACGTTGTTATTAGGTATATTTCTTGAGCTTTGATTAGACCTGTTTCTATATTGTATGAAATTCTCTTCTTCTCGTACAAATGCGAGAGCTTGTTCAAGAGAATCTGGGTCTTTTAATCTTACCACTAACTGCATTAGTAATTTAAGTTGTTAATAAAAGTTTTTAGACACAGATTATCAAATTGTTCGATTTTTAGAATTTTCATATTATTAGGATCGTTTGAGCTATTAATTTTAGCAAATAACAAACTTCTAGAATCTTGCAATTTTAATCCAAAAGAATGTAAGGATTCGTTCTTATCTGGTTTCATATGAATGATATCTTGGACAAGACAATCTTCAGTTCTTTGGTCAGAAAATGTGACAATTAACGAATCTTTAATTTTCTGCCAGGTATCGAGTTCCGTGCGACAAGCAATTAATTCGGCAGCTCTACCTGTCAATTTACAAATTACCGTATCGAACAAACAGATGTTTATTGGATCTGCGGCATTTTGTCGATTTTGGTGATTCTGTAGAAAATGTTCACATGATGTTAAAAATCTGCCAAGTGTTTTGGTGTTACCATCAAAATTTGGAATATTATCGGCTTGGTATCTAATAAGCTGATAATTTGGGTTGGCCATATTAACAAGATTTTGAATCTGATTATTAGGTTGAAAATTATTGTTAAAAATGTTTATAAGATTGTCAAGCTCGTTATCACCTTCCAGATCGAACAAATATATACCAATAAAATCAAAAAATATAAAAATAAAAGGAAAAGAATAATGGGATCACTTACAGCAATATCAGATTGATCTTGAAGTACATGAATCTATCTTCTATGGATTTTGGACGATGTAGTTCCGCTATCCGCACCAATAGGATTAATGGACGATTTTTGTTCCGATCCCTGGTCGCGAGTTCACTGATTGTCAAAGGTCTTTCGTATACCACGAACGTATATTTCGATTTGACGGTAAATCGTTAGCACGAAAAGACGATGGTTTTTTACGGCCCGCAAAATCCAAATTTTCGACTGAACCGGACTGTTTTTTACCGAAGTCTCCGTCAAAATCTACCGACTGCGCCACTTACGAGGGGTGTATACGAGAGAGCGTTTTTAAAAAACTTTATTTGACTAATACAATAGAACTGACTTAAATCTAGAAATTACTCCTTTTATAATATTAAAAATAAGCTGAATAGAACAATATAAATGCTGAATTGGAGTTCTCACGGGATATAACTTAGTAAGTAGTTTTTTCAATTTATTATTTCAGACAGTATGGTTTAAGGTATTTAATTATGATTCTGTTTTTATTTCAAAAGGTTTTTTAAGTTTAGTAAACAAACAAAATTGTGACTAACATCACTGTTGGCAATATCGCCAATTTCATGGTGGAGCAATATCGCCATGGCGATATTGCTAGCAGTGACATTGTAGCTTGCTATTTTATTTAATTTTCTAATTGATTAATTAATTTTTAGCATCAGTAGGTGCGTAAAAAAAATAGTATATTAAAGTATAAGTGGCACGACGGCGCAGCCGGAGTGCTCGAAATAGAGCAAGTGTTTTAAAGACCAGTTATCCACGAATACTTTACACTATTTTTTTTTATTGGTACCTATACGTTCAAATCAAAAATTACTAAGTAATAATTGTGGAATGCTAAATTCGTTGACACTCGCTATATTTTACTTGACGTTGTCTACAAGTACCTACTCCTGACAAATCAATATTTAAAAAGTTGACATTTAGACCTTTCTCGGGCTGTTGGTTGTTGATGTTGTCATTAGTAACTTTAAAACACGCGCGTTTTTGAATGTTCGATTTAAACACGCTCAGGAGTACTTTAAATAAGTGAAATGGCTTATCAATAAAAAAAAAGTTTGTTTCGCCAGGGTTTGTACTTGCCACCAGCATTTGCCTTCCTTGTTTAATAAATAAAAATTGACTGAAACAAATCAATGACGTTAAAAACGTTCGTTTTAATTTGTCAAAAAAATTGAATGTGTATGAACCCTGGTGAAACGAACTTTTTTTTCTTACTTACATTTATTTTTTATTTCCAGATTAACTATGTCTAAAGAACGAAATCGAGGTCTTAGGGGAAAATGGAGTGAAGATAACATGCAGAATGCTATTGCTTCAGTTGAAAATGGCATGTTCAAAAATTTAGCGAGTAAGACATTCAACGTACCTCGTGGAACGCTGAGAGATTATTTACGAAAAAATGAAACATCAAAATGTGGCTTGGGTCGCAAGCCTGTTCTCACTAAAGAACAAGAACAAGAATTGTGTACAAGAATCATTCGATTGGCAGAAGTAGGATATCCGCTAACTTCTAAAGTATTGCGTAGATGCGTTTTTAATTTTTGCGATGCAAAACACATAAGCCACCCGTTTAATGAAGAAAAAAAATTGGCTGGTCGATACTGGCTTAAAGGATTTTTCAGCCGTAATCCTAAAATTAGAAAGCGGAAGGCTCAGAGCATGAACCCTGCCAGGGCGCAAAAACTAAACCGGTTTATAGTGAATGACCACTTTACCAAACTCCGTAATATTCTGTTTAAGCTCGATATTATAAATAAACTTCAGTGTATTTATAATATGGATGAGAAAGGTTGCCGCTTATCGCTTCATCACTAACAAGCTGTTCTTGCAAAGAAGGGGGCCAAACGAGTGCATCTTGTAGCAAATGAACATGGGCAAAATGTCACAATAGTCGCTTGTGGGAACGCTATGGGTTCTACAGTCCCTCCGTTAATCTTATTTAAGGGGAAGCGAATGAAACAAGAATGGTCCGATTCTTTACCACCAGGAAGCATAGCGTTAATGACACCTAAGGGGAGCATGACCATTGAAACCTTCAAGCTGAGGCTTCAACATTTTGCGAAGTACAAAGCTCCTGGACCATGTCTTTTAATCTTCGATGGTGCTAGATGTCATTTGGACCATTCAATTGTCACTGTCGCTGAAGAGCTAGGCATCAACTTATACTGCTTACCAAGCAATACAACTCATGAGCTCCAACCAATGGACAAGGCAGTCTTTCGCTCTTTTGAGCACTACTGGGATGATGAAGTTCTCAAATACTGGGCTAATCATAGAGACCGTTCTCTAACAAAACAACGTTTTGGCTTTATTTTTTCCATTGTTTGGGACAAGGCCATGACCCCCGCCAATATTAAATCTGGGTTTTCGGCGACTGGTATCTACCCGTTTAACCCAGATATTTTACCGGTTGAGGCATTTGCACCAAGCAGCGTAACTGAAAATCCAGTAGAGCCACCTGCTCGAAATGAAGATAAGACACCGGCTCCAGGTCCATCGAAACTGACGATTAAGAATTAGTTGTCCAATCCTTCAAAAACGTCCATGTCAGTAGAGCCACCAGTACAAAATGAAAATGTGATTCCAGGTCCATCAAAAACTGCCAAGCTGACAATTACGGCTCCAGGTCCATCCAAACTGACCATTAAGAATAAGTTGTCCAATTCTTCAAAAAAGCCCACAAAACGTCAACTGCAAAAATTTAGTAGCAGTGATGATTCTGAGGCAGGAAGCTTGGAGATGTCTGAGAGTTCATCTGAAAACGAAACTAGTGAAAACCCCGAGAGCACTGACGAGAACGATATTTCATTTACCGATATGCTCACTACACCAGAATTGGCTCACAAATATGATACTCGACGCAGAAATCCCGCAATTAACAGTAGAGCACAAGTTGTTACAAAAGACCTTTTTAAAGAATCTACGGTCGGGGGCAAGATTTTGGAGCCAGTAGCCAAAACGTCAAAGAAAAATCCACCAAAGATTCCAAAGGGAAAGATGGAAGAGAAAAAATCGGAAAATTGGTACTGTAAAGGATGCCAAGAAGACCGAGTCGCGGATATGCGCTTGTGTGTTATATGCAAATGTTATTTGCACGATGAATGCCTGGGGTTGACCAAAGAAGACAAGATAGAAGGATACATTTGCCCTTACTGTTCTTAACTTTTGTATTTTTACTACATGTTATGGCTCTAATAAAGGATATTTAATAAAAGTCAAGTTTTTTTTTTCTGGAATACCAAAAATTTATTTCAAATTGAAAAATGAATATGGCGATATTGCTAGCCCCTGGGTGACAATATCGCCAATCTGCAAAATTTAAAAAAAAAATCAAAAATCTTTTTTGCTTATTAAGAATGTTGCCAAACGATTTTAGACTATTAGTATATAGCCTAAACAATAAGTTTAGCCTATATTTTTTATAATATAATCTTTCGCTTTTCAAAAAATAAAATAAATAGCTTAGCATGGCGATATTGTATTCAGTTACCTTATTCTATTAGAAATTTCATAAGGGCTGGGCCAAAATAGTTTCTCATTATTACATAAATTAATTTTTTAGTTGCACTCCTGATGAATTCGAATGTTCTGATGGCACTTGTGTCGCCATGAACTGGAAATGTGACCATCATTTGGATTGTCTCGATGGCTCAGACGAAAGGGAGTGTGGTAAGTGATATATTTTCAACATCAATTTCAATCAATCAATCACACTGATAAAAAGATTGCACTAGATCATTGATCATTTTGATTCCTCAAACATAGGGAGTAGCTACTTAGTGTGGTGATGTACTTTCTCTCGCTTTTGCTGGGTGGTCCTAAAAGGTGTGCTGACAAAAAAAGATGATTTGTTCAGATAGCATGCCATGGACATTTTGGCAACTTCAAATTCTTTATTGAATACTCTAGTAGGTATATGATACTTTTATTTTCAGATTTTTTAAAAAAATCAGTAAGCTTCCAAAAAGCATGGTTTCATGAAACTATCCGGAGTGTTTCATACCGAAATAGATTTCTTTTAAAATATCTAAATTGGCCAAATCTTCTCAATTTTTTACAGGGTCATTCGAATGGGTACCTATGCCAACTCTTCAAATTTTCCGTGGATAATTTTATACCAATCTCAGCGATATTTGGTTTTTATGAAAATCCCTCCAGAAATTGGCTTTTTCCACAATTTAAGTAGTCGGACTGGCTAGAAAAATATGAAAATAAAGTATATGTCGTAAATAAACGTAATTTCATATTTTTTACGAGTTGTTGGTTTTCGATTTCATAATTTTCTCATATAGTCTAGGAGGCAGTGAAATTTTTTAGCACTTATTTTCCCAGTTGGTGTATATTATAGTAGATTATACCACGAGTCAATAATGATAGCTATTATTCCCGAGGATTATTACGAACTGAGCCGCGTTAGCGGCGAGGGAGTAACATTCCGAGGGAATAATAGCCATTATTGCGAGTAGTATACTCTACTTTATTTACGACAAATTAATTTATTTGAGATTTTCAATGAACAAATTTCATCCGTCTCATAATTTTCAATACAAATCCACAAGCACTACACGTTTGACAATGACACTTTTGTGGAATAATGACCATTAATCCCGCTACTCGTCATTAATCCCTGGAGGAATAACATATGTCATTATACTGCCAAAATCACAAATATAATATGCACATTATACATTAGTCGTAAATAAAATAGTTTGTTCTCTTGGTGATACAAAACAAGAATATTTGAGATTCGCAAAAATTTTCGGATGGATTCTCAAGATCAATGAAAAATACAAGTACACTTATTTTCCTAGTCATAAATATTTCACATTCACTACAATAGAACATAAAAGTATATGAAAATAGCAATTTGGCTTATCTCAGAAAATGGAAAGTGAGTCTGACTGAAATTTTTCAGATATTCAATTTTTCACTTGCCCGACGTATTATCCATACTCACAGATAGCCGGACTATTTTTTTACTTAACTTCAGTATACTTCTCATTAGTAGACCTATTTTTATCACTGGAAAAAAAAGGGCTGTGCATTCGTAAGCTCTAACGCATTTTGCGCCTCAACCCATCGGAAAACCCCCTCTAAAAATATATGAATTTTGCTTAGAATTACTAACCCTACAATTCTATCCATGTTGTCTGACTGGGAAAATAAGTACCGAAAATCGTCACTGCCTCTGGGATTTATTCCTATATGTCTATTATGGAGATGATTTGTGTCTGAATGTAGATAGCCTTGAAAATGACCACAAAAGAAGTGTCAAATCCTCAGCAATTTCTGTAAATAAGAAGTTTTCCATCTCCTTGCTGGTCGAACAAAGTATATCTATCACTATGGATGGGCCAAATAAAAGTAGTTCATCTAATGCTGAATATTAAATTTTTTTTTGACAGAATCCGGCACTCTCAATTTTGAAATCAAAATGCTACCAAGTGGAACAAACATGTTTAGGCCTGGCCGTACGTACATACCTATGTGAAGAAAGTAACCGTCATATAGTGAACTTTATACAACTTCAATTTTATTATCTGATTAGGAACATAATTCAATAGTGATTTATATTACAAGTACGGTATGAGCACTCGTGTGGTTACCACGATTCGGTCTACGGCCTCGTCTTGACAATATTCCCCACTCGTTACTGTAATGAGCGTTACCGTACGTGTGATATACAACATTTTATGTAGGTACGATCCAGTTTTTTTTATGTATTCAAAATGGTTTTGATTTTTCACAAAAGATTATTCAGGCAGGCTCAAAAGAAAATATTTCCTCAAGAAGTAGGTAGGCAGGGCCGTATCTAGGGGGGGGTTTTGGGGGTTCAAATCCCCCCCCCCCAAATAATAAAATTCAAATATTTAACTTAAAAACAAACAACACTTATTAAATACTTTTTTTTTAATTACTAGTGTAACAATTTTTTTTGCCACTTTGTCTAACCCCCCCCAAAATTTTGGTCTACACCTTTTCCATAAGTATTTCAGAATGTATCACTTGTATTTCAGATTCATCAATTCTAGTTCAGAATGCGTCAATTGTATTTCAGTTGTGTAAGTTCAATTTCAGAAAGTGTTATTTGTATTAACTTTGTCAGTTGTAGTTCAGAAAACATCATTTGTGTTTCAGATTCGTCAGGTGTATTTCAGAAAAAGTTATTTGTATTTCAATTTGGTCACTTGTATTTCAGAAATCGTCATTTGTGTTTCAGATTATTTATTTGTAGATCAGAAATGGTAAATTGTATTTCAGAATTCGTCAAATGTATTTCAGATGTTATCAATGTAGTGTATTGAATAAAATTTATAATGAGTCACCTATACACCTATCTTATGTTGATTTGGGGAAATCTGCGTAGATACCTACTAATTTCTGAACTACATCTGACAATTTCTGAATTACAATTCACGTTTTCTGAACTACAATCAACTACACCTTTTCCATATGTATTTCAGAGATCGTCAGTTTAATTTCAGAATGCGTCAATTGAAATTCAGATCAGTAAATTGTATTTCGGAAAGCGTCAATTGTATTTCAGAATAAATAATTTTATCTGGGAAAGAATCAATTGTATTTCAGATTAGTTTATTTTATTTCAGAAAGTGTCAATTGTATTTCAGATTGGTTAATTTTATATCGGAAAGCATCAATTGTATTTCAGATTAGTTGATTGTAGTTCAGAAAACGTGAATTGTATTTCAGAAATTGTCAGATGTAGTTCGGAAATTAGTAGGTATCTACGCAGATTTCCCCAAATCAACACAAGTTAGGTGTATAAGTGACTCATTATAAATTTTATTTAATACAACTACATTGATAATATCTGAAATACATTTGACGAATTCTGAAATACAATTTACAATTTCTGATCTACAAATAAATAATCTGAAACACAAATGACGATTTCTGAAATACAAGTGACCAAACTGAAATACAAATGACTTTTTCTGAAATACACCTGACGAATCTGAAACACAAATGATGTTTTCTGAACTACAACTGACAAAGTTGAAATACAAATAACACTTTCTGAAATTGAGCTTACACAACTGAAATAGAATTGACGCATTCTGAACTAGAATTGATGAATCTGAAATACAAGTGATACATTCTGAAATACTTATGGAAAAGGTAATCTGAAATACAATTTGTTGTATATGGGTTCGGACTAAGTAATGCAATAAATAATTAGGTAAAACTGTATATTTAAAGCATGAAATTACTTGAACTTGTATTAATTCCCGAGCAGTTTTTGTTTTTGTAGGGGTTACTTCAATCCAATTAAAAAAGGCATCAACCAATACAAGATAGTTTTTCCCCTTAAATTCAAAAAAATCGGAATGAACAAACTGCCATGGTCTGGAAGGTGGATCATGTGGAATTAACGTCTCCTTTTGTTGGGACTTCTGATTTAACTGACATGTTTCACAATTTTGAACATAATCTTCAATATCTTTAGATATGCCGCGCCAATAAAGGAGTTGACGCGCTCTCAATTTGGATTTTGAAATGCCAAAATGTGTCTTATGAATTTGTTGAAGCATGTCAGATTTAAGCGACTCGGGAACTATTATTTTATTATCAAAAAATAGCAAATTATTTGATAAATAAATATTGTTCTTAATTTTAAAGTACTGTTTCATTTCTAAGGGTAAATTTTTGTCTTTTTTAGGCCAAAAAGTTTGACAATATTGCTTCACTTTTGATAAGATAGGATCTAACTCGATTTTCTTTCTGAAGGTATGCTTTTTTTCTTCGGACATAGAAATGTCATTGGATAAAGTGTGCACAATATAAGCCATTTCAGGGTCATCTTGTACGTCATCTTTAATATAAGGAATAATTAGGTAAAACTGTATATTTAAAGCATGAAATTACAACATGAGTTGACTGACTAACTCACAAGACTAACTGACTGACTGACTCGTCATCAGGTGGTGTCTTTGTTAAGCTACTCATAACACAATTGATGCTTTCCGATATAAAATTAACTAATCTGAAATACAATTGACACTTTCTGAAATAAAATAAACTATTCTGAAATACAATTGATTCTTTCCCAGATAAAATTATTTATTCTGAAATACAATTGACGCTTTCCGAAATACAATTTACTAATCTGAATTTCAATTGACGCATTCTGAAATTAAACTGACGATCTCTGAAATACATATGGAAAAGGTGTAGATACGGCCCTGTAGGTAGGTACTTTTTTCTCCGTCTCTTTACGTTATATCTTTCTTCTCTCTCGAGTAACGAAATTTCCCCGTGTCGCGTTTTTCAAATCACTCTCCATTGTCGTCCAAATATCAGAACGCCGCCTAAGAAGTTTCACTTCAAAAAACCCAAAACCGGTTACAAAATCAAATTTTCAGTGCGGAGAACTTAATCATCGTCCAAGACAAATCACCATGATCAGATCCTTGATTCGTTTCATGTTCACCTATGGCACAGTTACGTGGTGTTCTACCGCAATATCATACCAAACCAAGATACAATCCATTCAAAATAGAAGGTCCAGAATTATTGCCAATGCCCCAGGATTCGTGAAGTCAAAAAATTTGCAACAAGAGTTGAACCAAGAGTGGCTTCATACCTTCCTGGACAAATGGACAAGTTCTTCTGCAGCTATTATAGAAAACTCCAAATTTGACAGAATC